TAGAATAGAATAGAATAGAATAGAATAGAATAGAATAGAATAGAATAACAGAGTTGGAAGGGACCTTGGAGGTCTTCTAGTCCAAACCCCTGCTTAGGCAGGAGATGCTATACCATTTCAGACAAGTGACTGTCCAGTCTCTTCTTAATAACTTCCAGTGTCAGAGCATTTACAACTTCTGGAAGGAAGTTGTTCCACTGATTAATTGTTTTGATTTTCAGGAAATTTCTCCTTAGTTCTAAGTTGCTTCCATCCTTGATTAGTTTCCATCGGTTGCTTCTTGTCCTGCCTTCAGGTGCTTTGGAGAATAGCTTGACCCCCTCTTCTTTGGGGCAGCCCTTGAGATATTGGAAGACTGCTATCATGTCTCCCCTAGTCCTTCTTTTCATTAAACTAGATATACCCAGTTCCAGCAACCGTTCTTCCTATGCTTTAGCCTCCAGTCCCTCATCATCCTAGTTGCTCTTCTCTGCACTCTTTCTAGAGTCTCAACACTTTTGTTACATCATGGCGACCAAAACTGGACGTGCTATTCCAAGTGTGGCCTTACCAAGGCGTTATAAAGTGGTATTAACACTTCACGTGATCTTGATTCTTAGAATCCTTAACAAGTCTGGAAAGTGCTTTAAAAAAAAAAAAAGAGTTAAATCTGCCTTCCCCCGCCTTGTCAGCTTGTGCTGGGGTTCTTTAAGTCTCTGTGCTTTCAAATATGTAACAATCACCCTGAAAATTTGGGAAAAGGCTCACCAGAACTTGAAAACTCGCTGAAATCAATTGTTTGTGGCTACGTAGGGTTCTAGGCTGAACCCTTTTTTAATTCCGCCCCCAAGTTCTGCCACACTGCTTCCTACACAGGGTCTATCTATCTACTTAGAAGGTTATACCTTTAGTCTGGAAAGATTCAGTCTATTAGGTGCACATAGATAAATAAAAATAGAGATGTGGACTTGAGTGGATTTCACTATGCCGTCTCTGTGGTTCGGCTTTATAAGTTGTATTTGGGAGTCCTGATAATGCCACTCCAGACCATAATCTTTCCTGCTTCTTTGGCTATGAAACAGAAGGAAGCTTTCTCTTTCTTTCTTTCTTTCTTTCTTTCTTTCTTTCTTTCTTTCTTTCTTTCTTTCCTTCTTTCCTTCTTTCTTTCTGTCTTTCTTTCCTTCCTTCCTTCACATTCCTTCCTTCCCTTTCCTTCTTTTCTTTCTTTCTTTCTTTCTTTCTTTCTTTCTTTCTTTCTTTCTTTCTTACTTTCTCCTGCAATTCCTCTTTGCCCGTTTGTGAACCGTTCACTGGAACAAACCCATCTCTTCTTTCTGCCATCGCTATCCCCGGAGCAGAGAAGGAAGGAAGTAGATGAGTAGGAAACTGGTTGCTTGGAGGCTCAGCTGGGAAAACCAGCTGGGGATCGAAGCAGATGCCGTGTGCCTCTCTGGGGTTTTGCAAGACGCACAATTAAACTTGCTGAATTTAAGAAGGAGGAAACAGTTCGGCTTTTTGAGTCAGATTCCAGCTTCAAGCAGCGCATCTCACTGCGAATTAAGGACGGAAGCTCAGTTCAGCTCCATCCTTATTATTCAAGGAAGGGCTTTTTCGCTTCTTACAAGGAAAAATATTAATATGAATGTAACATTATTATCTTCTTTTCTGCTGAAGAATGGAAACAGCTCTCCTGCATAAAAGCAGACGTAATGGCTGTTGAGACACTGTAAATTGCAGCCCAGGAAACTAATGAATTATACATATTGCAATAAGAGTGTCAATAAAAGGTTTCTTTGACTCTTTCCTTCCTTTCTTCCTTTCGTTTTCACTTTCCTATACATTAAACTTCCTGCTTAGTTTATCTCAGGTTGTTTAAAAACAAACAAACTAACTAACTTATTATCGTGACCTTAACCGGATCCTTTGTAGGGTGATGGACCTGGACCACATTTTACTTTATTTTAAACTCTGCTAATATCATCCAGGCTTATTCGGGGCATGACGGAGTTTGGAAAGAAAGAGAAATAATCTCTCTGTGGTGTTGTTGCAACTCTCCAAAGCCAACAAACAGAAATGCACAAAATTTGGCAGGTTGCTGTCATTTTGTCTTGGCTGGAAAATATTCCAACGATGGCACTGGGATTCCTGCATTATTAAGCCGTGGTTCATGTCATCCTGGCTTTGCATAAACCATGAAGCCTGTTGCAAAGAGCCTCTTCCCACCAGCTGTGAAGCTGGGAGTTTACCACCTAAAATAATAAACACATGGATGTGACAACCTCACATCCTGAATAATTATATCCACCATATCTTGCTCTTCAGAGGTGGTATGCTGCTGGTTCGCACCGGTTGTAGCAATCTGGTAGCACCGGTCAGCAGTTGGCTCCGCCCATCTGCCCCTGCCCTTTCCTGTCCTATATTTCCTTTGTTTGCAGCTCAGCTGATAGGCGCGGCAGAATGGATTACCGCGCCTCAGCTGTTTTACTCACCAGCGCTGAAGGTAAGATAAGTGTCAATTCATGAAATATCTCTATGGTCTTTTTAGAGTTGCCAACAGAAAGGGAGGAGGGAAGGGGGTTTGAAAGAGCAGTGTGGCAGCTTGGAAATAGAAAGTGCATTCCATAAATAGTTTTTCAGAGATAGTAACTAGGTGTGTGAAGTTTGTGCCATGTAAATATCTTACTGGAGAGTATGATTGATGACTCTTGGCTATGGATGTGTCCCATTGGAGAATATGAATTACGATATACCCAGGGGGTGGGGGAAAACCAGGGTCAAAGATGACAATGAATTATGTGTCTCGGAGTCGGCTCCACCCAGGCAATGCCGGACATGTTAACTCCTAATAAATCCTTTTTAAGTTTTGGAAGTTTGGCTCGAGACTCATGATTTAATTGGGGTGACTGCCGGAATCCTGACAGTAAAGCACATGACCAAGGGGATGCTGCAACAGTCATCAGGGTGAAAAACAGTCCTAAAATATATTTTTTTCAGTGCCATTGTAACTTTGAATGGTCACTAAATGAACTGTTGTAAATTGAGGACTACCAGTACCACAAAAAGATGAGGGGTTTTTTCTTTTAAATGGGTTATTCTATTCTATTCTATCCTATTCTATTCTACAACTCGTCCTCTACTATGATTCCTTTCTCAGCAGGAGCTATGAGGATCCAATTGAGAGCGAAATCGTCAATGAGAGAATTCCCTACTTGCACGGCAGCTATGCGGCTCCTTTGGCGCAACCCGAAAGGGGGAGCATGGCCAGCATCGACCGCCTGGGCAAGCGCTCCCCCTCCATTGACAGCATTCGCAAAGACCCCCGATGGCGAGACCCGGATCTTCCTGAAGTCATCGCCATGCTCAGCCACCCCATCGATCCCGTGAAATCCAACGCAGCAGCCTACCTCCAGCATCTCTGCTACGAGAATGATAAGATCAAGAAGGACGTGAGACATCTCAAGGGCATTCCCATCCTGGTGGGTCTGCTAGACCATCCCAAGCCTGAGGTCCACCGCAAAGCATGTGGGGCCCTCCGGAACATATCCTATGGGAAGGATAATGAGAACAAAGTGGCCATCAAGAACTGTGATGGGATCCCAGCTTTGATCAGGTTGTTGCGCAAGACGAGTGATATGGAAGTACGGGAACTCATTACAGGTCAGTGGTTTCTTCTTCTTCTTCTTCTTCTTCTTCTTCTTCTTCCTCTTCTTCTTCTTCTTCTTCTTCTTCTTCTTCTTCTTCTTCTTCTTC